AAGCAGATAGGAGATCACAATGGCGAGAGTCTTCCTCCGCTATTCTGGCCAAAACGCCACGTCTGAAGAACTGCTCAATTGTCTGGACTTCTTCAGGAACTTCAAGAATGGACCAGCGCAGGAGTGTTTTATTTGTAGCTGAAACTACAGATGTGTTAACAAGTGACAACAACATGGACGCAGACATCTTAAAACCACGTGTGCATTCTGTGCAATAATGAATAATGAAAAATGAGCATGCGCATATGCAGGCGGGTTATGGGAAACAATGAATCTAATTGGAGTGGCCTAAATATATTTTACCAATCTTGTGAAGAGTAGGAAACTTCTTGTCTTGACTTTTCCACTGTGTTAGTGGTGGGAAATCAATGTTGTCATTGGGTAAGTGTCAAGTGAAGGTACATATAGTTGGTTTCAGTTGAGAAGAAACGGAAATAAAATTAATCAATATTAATTTTCGTCATTAAAACGTCACGTGTAGCCCCGCCCAAACATGGCTGCAATCTGCAAGCTCTGTCATTCTTCGAGCGTTTCTTCTCCTTTAACTTACTTTACTAACTATTGTACCTCTACAGTGGTTGCTGCTACCTCCATCTATCCTTTTCTTGTTTTTGGTGCCTGTTTTTAGCTGGTATAGAGCTCGGAATACGGGTGAATCAACGAGTGAACTGGCAATGAAGAACAACTAAGATTGAGAAGGCTGTGGAGTGATATAGCAAGAATTATCCTTAAGAGAAAGCTCCTAGTTGAATATTAGTAGTTCTAAAGAGCTTGATATGTTTTGTTTTATTTTTAAAATAAAAAACATTATTTTTGACTAAATGTAATGAGATGCAAATGATATTCATCGGAGTGACGCACACAATTCGTCATGGCGGCTCCTTTCATCTCAAGCGGAAGAACCCGTTTAGAACCTTCCAGAGTACCTAGAAACTCAAAAATCGGTAAGGATTTTCGGAAGAACCTGTTATGCAGCTATACCAAATTTCAATTTGCTAGCATTAGTGACAAAAAAGTTATAAGGGGTGGTGGTGGTTTCTTCTCAACTGAAACCGACTATACCTTAAGGAGACAATTGTTTGCGGGTATTTAATTTAGCGAATTTTAGTGATTAAAAAAAAATCGCTAACTTATGTCCGCGCTAATTTAAATTTTTAATTGAAAGTGGGTGTGGTCACAATGAATAAAATGGCGGCCGTCAGCAAGTCTGAGTTTATTTGCAGCGAAGGGTCAGCAAGATAATACTAAACTGCTGTCCAAAGACTTCTTTAGCAGTTAGCCTAGGTTAACAAAGCAGATGAAATATTCTTCGTTCAGTGACTGCTCTAACTGTAAGCAAGATAACTTTA